ACTCTTCTTCCCACTCTACCAAAGCTTGTTGTAGTTTGGTCTTCGTGTCGGCTATTAGGACTATGTCATCCGCGTAGAGAAGGCTTTGTATGAGGACAGTTCTCAAATTCCACTTCCCAATTGTTGTCCACGCAGTTCGGCGTTTACAGATTTTGTGGATTTCATCCATTACATTTATAAATAGAAGGTTCAGATTCCATACCATTCATCCTTACCACTGCCATGGCTCCTTGATAGGCTGACTGTATGGCCGCCAGCAAGTCTCCAGGTACACCCTTGGCTATTAGGGCATTCCAAATTTCTTTTCTTGGAACCACATCAAACGCTGACTTCAGATCAAGGAACGCAAGATACAGATTTTTATCTCTGTCCCAAGCTTTTTCAGCAATATTTCTGAGAACAAAGATGTAATCCTGCTTCTGTGGACGAAAACCAGCCTGTTCCGCTTCTAACTGCCCTTCCACAATCCGTCGGAGTCTCCTTTCTAGTATAGAAGTATAAAGTTTATAGACCACTGATAGCAGACTAATGGGTCTATAATTTTTGCAATCTGTCGTGCATCCTTTTTTATAAATCGGGAGGATTATGCAATATTCCCAGTCCATGGGAATTTTCTTTCTGTCATATACTTCTTGGAACAGTGATTGTAGTGCTTTAAGAAGTTCTTGACCACCGAATTTTAAATATTCTGGTGCAGTTCCATCCCTTCCTGATGCCTTACCTCTTTTTAGCTTATGGATTGCATTTTCTATTTCTTCTTCCTCTATAACCTCCAGGCTTTCTTGAATATTGGGCTCTTGTTCTTGATAATGGTCTGTTTCTGGATTTTCGGAGAATTGTTCCTGGAAATATTCCTTCCATCTGCCAAGGATCTTTTCCTTGTCTGTAAGTAGGATTCCATCGCTACCTTTTACATTTCTAATAGGCTTGCATTGTTTTCCTCTTAACATCTTAACTTTTCGCCAAAATGTTCTTATAGATTCGCGATGATTCTCGCTCAGCCTTTTACCAAACTCCTCCCACGACTTCTTCTTTGCCTGGCGTATGGCTACCTTACATTCATTCCTGGCTATTCGATATAAGTGTAGCTTTCCTTCAGTTCTATCCATAAGGTATGCTTTCCAGGCAAGCTTCTTCCGAGAAACCAGTCGTTAGAGATCATTGGTCCACCAGTCTTTTTTTTTTTTGTTCTTCCCTACCTCGCCTTTTTTAGGCTATACGGGATTTTCCCGGGCCGGGAGGTGAGGGCGGGGAATTTAAAATCCCCTCCGGCACCGGGACGCGAACTCGTACTTTTTATATCATCTCAAATCTCTGTTATCCGCTTGCCAGGCAACTAGCAGTGCTGTTACACACGCTTTAGCCTATTCGGCCACCCCGCCCCCCAGAAGGAGGAAGGTAAAACCAAAAAATAACACATTGGTCTGGTTTCAAACTGTCAGACAGAGAGTTACCAGGAGCCTATGTGAGATGGTAGTGACTCGGGAGAGAGTGTGGTCCACCAGTCTGTCCGCTTTCCCTTACTAGACACTCTCTTCTTCCCACAGACTGTATTTGCTGTTTCCAAAATACATATTTTCAGTGGCTTCCATATCTCTTCCACATCTCCATCGAATGACGTTTCCCTTAATTTATTTTCCAGGCTTTCTGTAAAGAGGGCCCTTTTCTCTGGGGCATCCAAGGCTCTTACGTTGAGGGTTTCGAATACTTTTGTTTTCCTTTTATACTCCGGGATGATCTTTGTATCAGCCACAAGTAAAAGGTGGTCGCTGCTTATCTCCGCTCCTCTTACTACTTTTATGTCAGCGAAATACTACCTTATGTTCCTATCATATGAAATAGTCAATTATACTATTTCGTTCCATGCATGAGAAAGTGATTTTGTGGATTCTCTTGTGTGGATAGAAAGAATTTCCTATGAGGAAGTCATTATGTACGCAAAAGTCTATTAGCCGTTGTCCATTAGTATTCCTCACATTCTCACCTCCATGCAGCCCCAAAACTCCATATCCAGATCTTTCATCATTTCCTGTTCTGGCATTGAAGTCCCCACTCAGGATTACTGACCTTCCTTTTCCTTTAGCTTTATCCACTATTTTTTGCTAATCCGAGTAGAATGCCTCCTTGTCTGCAACACTAGCATCTTCCGTTAGTGCATACACCTGGATTATGAAAATCTTACCTATGGTCATCTTAAAATCTGCTACAATCATTCTTGGAGATAACGGCTCCCAGTCCTCTAAATGATCATACATATTAGGCGACATTACTAGACCCACTCCCTCTTTGGCGAAAACCCCTCTAGGTACTCCAGCATAAATTAGGGAGTAATTATTAACCAATTTCATTTCTCCACTGCCCTTTTTCTTCACTTCACTTATGCCGAGGATTTCTACTTTGTAGGTCCTCATTTCTTCCACCAGCTCGACCTCCTTCCCAGTTAAAGTTTTTATGTTCCACGTTCCAATTCGTATATCCCTTAGTCTGCCAGGTCGTTTCCTTGAAGACAGTCCACATCCGAGGCTAGTTGAATTGCTTTGAATCGTTGATTCTCCAGACGGGTGATTAGCCCAGTGCTGGAGGTCCCCTATCCTCGGGACAACTGGCCTCCTGAATATTTATATCCCCTCAGGAGGAAGGGTGGCCGGGCTATACCCCCCAGCACTGGGTACCTGTTGGTCCACGGGTCTTTATTCTGTATATTCAGACCGACCCTCCTAAGAGGGATCCCCTATCCGCCACCCGGGGGACGCGCTCCCTAGTGGACAGGTTCCACCGAGAGATAAATCTATTTTCCAGATTTCTAAATCTGCAAAGAGCTATCTCTCTAGTGGAATCAAGGCTGATCGACTGGTCATGGAGCGGAAGCGAAACTATGAATCTACCCTAGAGATCACTAGTGCATATATTTATAAAGTGATCTTTGCAAAATGCATCTTCAGGATTCGGCAGAATCGAAACTGTGATTTCCTCGATCTCCCAAAATGCTTTAATTCCTCCTGTAAGGAAGGGGTGGTCTGTGTGAAAAGAGTAAAGACCAATAAAGAGCTACTCACAGAAACTGGTCTATCAAAATCTCATGATATGAAGGAAAGATGGGCGTGGTATATATCTCAGAGCAGAGATGGGCATATTTATATTCAAAAATATAAATACGAATACCATTTATATTTATGGTACTTATGAATATATTTATATTAATAAAAAGTAATATGAATACAGAAGATACTTATTCATAGCTGTAAATATAAATATGGCCGTAATCACAATTGTAAAAGTGAATACGGCTGTATTTACACCTGTAAAAATGAATACGGTAGTATTCACGTTTAATAAAATGAATACGCTTAAATTTACAGAAGTGAATAGAAATATTTTCACACAACCTTATTAATGAATACTCTTATTTATTAAAAAATATATATTTATTAAATTATTTGATTAAAAAATATATTTACTATTTTATTTTTATTTATAGTATTATATTCTTCATTTTACAATATGTTATATTAATTATCACTCCGAATATTTGTACGTAATATAAATTCTCAAGCATTTTTTTTTTGTTGGATCCATCGTCCCACCCTCTCCCGTACCAGAATGGAAAGTCTACCTCTATGATCCTAGACGCACAGACTTTTCGGCGCACTATGCTGCAATGTTACAACATATTGTAAAAGATAAGTTTAATGGACGGTCAGAGTAGGTACAACACTGGGAACGATACCCTGGAAATTCTAATGGGGAATACGTGTACACGACAGACTTAAGTTGAATCAAGGAAAGGGGCAAGGGCTGTCAAATTTGAATAGTGGCCTTTCTGGACCTGCTGATCAGTGTGTAATGTGTGAATATATTTGTTATTTTGTTAAGTTTTGCATATAGAACATAATGTATGAAGTTGCTAGCGAAACTGAGTCTGTTTGTTTATCGGGCTCTTGAAATCTGGATGATAGAGATTTTGATTTTCAAGTTTTTTCAAGACAGTACCGCCTCTTTAAGAAATTCCAATAATCTCACCTCCTCAGAATTTTTATTGGGGGAAGTGAGGGAGGTGATGACACGAAGAATATAATACTATGTATAAAAATAAAATGGTATATATAGTATTTTTTTTTGAATAAATAATTTAAAAAATATATATTTTTTTAATTAAATAAGAGTATTCATTAATAACATTATGTGAAGATATTTCTACATTAATAATACATTGTAACATAATTAACATAACATATTGCAAAAGGAAGAATATAATACTATATATAAAAATAAAATGATATACATAGTAAATCTTTTTTTTTAAATAAATACATTTTTTTTAATAAATAAGAGTATTCATTAATAAGGTTGTGTGAAAATATTTGCATTCACTTCTGTAAATTTAAGTGTATTCATTTTAATAAATCTGAATACTGTAATATTCACTTTTACTAGTGTAAATACAAAGGCTCGGGAATTTATATTACATACAAACATTACGAGTGATAATTAACATAACATAATACATTGTAACATAATTAACAAAACATATTGTAAAAGGAACAATATAATACTATATATAAAAATCAAATGATATATATGTAGTAAATATTTATATTTTTTAATATAAATATGCGCATCACTGTCTCTGAGCAATCCATCTGAAAGCCTCTGCACAACAATGAATGCCTCAATAGTAGGTGAAATACCACATGGAAGGCCAAGAAGCAAATATATAGATCAAATCAACAAAGATGAAATGGAGCTGCATACAGATAACTGGAAATAAATGGCCCAAGACAGGCAGAGATGGAGAAGGCTTGTTAAGGCTACAAAAGATCTGCAAAGTCTGCATCCCCACTCTCTTTTTACGCATAGGCATGCTGCTAGAAAATACATAGTTTTAAGTTATGACTGTAGCATCCTCATCTTTATTATTAATTATTATATGCATGTCTATATAAAATTTGTCAATGGAATATATTATTTTTTATTGGTAAAAAGTTTAACATTGCTTCCAGGAACCATTTTTTCATTGGATTTTTGGTGTTACGGAACCAAATTTTTATGGAGCCATTGATGTTGATACTGAAAAATCTTATTTGTTTTATCCAAAACCTACTGAAACTGATGTGATATGGCTGGGAAAACTTCCGAAGAAAAAGGATTTTGCTAAGAAATACTTGGTTGATTACGTTTATTATACCCATGAAGTAAGTACTGTTGTTTATCTTGGTTTTTATTTTTACTCCTGTATTTATAATGATTTTATAAACATGAGTCTTATACTACCTATAATTATGTCCACTAGTATGATTATGTCGGGAATTCCATGAAAATCGGGAATATGTCAGAATTCTGTAAGGTAGAGAATAAGTTGGAATTCCCTATAAACTTTGCAAACAAAGACTAAGTTGTCATCAGTTCTAAATTCTAATATCTTACTTCAGGTTTCATCAATTGTGGTCTAGTTAATTTTGGCTATTTATATTTTATCATAATTTTAGCTGTTTATATTTTTATTTTTAGAAGGACAATAAAATTAAAATTTAATTAATATCTAATTGTATCAATATTATTTCTTTCATTGGCAGTTCCGATCATATGTGAAATACTTTACTTATGTTTATTGGTCTTATTTTAGAAATTTCTAGAAATCTATTTAATTTTCCTTTCCCAGTTTTTTAAGTTTTAAACAATAATGTAAACAATAATAACAAAAATTAAATTAAACAATAATAACAAAAATGTATCAATATTTTGGGTCTCAATATTTTTAATCTTTGAAAAGAGTAGGGATGTAAATATCAGAGAGAAATACTTTTTGAAAGTAGTGCTGCCCTACTATATAGGGTTGCTTTTTCACAGCATACTGATCAATCCATATGGATATAGCTCTTACATCATATTATTCCATTATTATATAAATATATCATTTTTTTTTTTTTTTTATGCCTTTTCACAACACTAGTCCATATACCATATCATTAACAATACCACATTAAACAATTACCATTATACAAACATAAATGTTATGAAAAAAAAAATAATAAAGTATTCGAATGCTAGAAATACAAGACTAAATCTCACTCATATATCAACTTCTTGAATATAGACAGAAGGATGAGACGAAGTTAAAAAATCAAAATTAAATAAATAAATAGATAAATGACAAAGGACATCACAAATTCACATTGAATTGCTATACAAGCGATAGTGGATGATCCCTAGAGAGTCTAGAATAAAATGTTGATACATATAGACATATAAATTTAATATTAAGATTAAAAAAAAAAATCAATATTTATTTATTTTCTATTGATGCCTTCTGAACAAGTTAGGATGAGCGGGCTTCCCCAGATAAACATCTTATTTGGCCTCAAAGTAAGAATTGAACTAGACTCTTAAGATTGTTTAAAGCTAGAAACAAATTACAGTTCTCTCAAAAACTATATATTAACTTCATTAATCATATAGGAACCTTCAATACATTAATCGAGATTATAAAATAAAAGGCATCAAGATTGTAAACAAACAAAAATAATGGCTTTTACTGAACCAAAATTCTAACCTCTTCTCTAGAATTGCCATTAATACGTCCAATCAGGCTATGTATGATGCCAATGGGGGTCGTTTATGGCAGTTTTTTTTTATATTCAGTTTTGAACTCTGCAGCAACCAGAAATTTAGTTTAGAGATATCCAATTGTCGATTAATAGTATTGTTGAAAACTTTGATTTTACAGATAGTTCAGGAACAGTTGAGTTGCCTTCTGATTTTTAACTGTATGTTTAGTATTAGCGAACGATAGATATCTTTATATTATTTAAATTATATTTTTATTTAAAGCATGTGACAATGGTCATAGCAATTCATTGGCTGGCAAGCACTTGTTTGTCCTGGAGTAGATATCAAGCCGCTATAATACAAAATGGCTGCCATATGAAGATAGAAGAGACTTTACATAGGTTGCACGCATATATATAGAGAGAGCTTATATATATATATATATATAAAGCTACCAACACTTTCAATTTATATTATCTACAGTCTTAAGACCTGAAATAAAAGTTAGTTAGCCCATACTCGTTGATTTTAAGTCGAAAAATTGAATTGGCGATTAAAAAAATTTACTTTTATCGGATTTTCGCTTATATCAGTAAAACTATGCGTCATATCTATAATAATAATAATAATAAAATATTAACAAAGTAAAATTTAATGAATTAAGTATAATGATTAGCCATAGCTTTTATATTGACGATTTAAAACTCTATGCAAAGAATAAATCCCAGCTCCATTCTATGCTAAAGACACTTTTAGTGACTCCATACAGATGTCACTTGGGACTGAGAAATGCGCAGTTCTTCACGTTATAAAAGGAAAACCAAATAATTCCGAAAACTTGTTTAATGAAGAATATCATATTAAGAACCTTCAGAAAGAAGATATGTATAAATATCTAGGGATAGAACAGCATTTAAAAATAGCTAGAAAGGATGTAAAATATAAATTGATAGCTTCATTTAAAAAAAGACTAAAGATTATCCTTAGAACACATCTTTCTTCAGGATTAATGATAAAAGCTATAAATACGTGGGTTATTCCTTCCTTATCCTACAGCTTTGGAATTATAAAATGGTCCACAACGTCACTCCAGGAATTGGATAGGTTAATAAGAAAAAGTATGATGGGTTCCAGAATACACCACCCGACTGCATCTATGGCAAGACTTTACCTGCGAAGAAAGGAAGGAGGGAGAGGTCTTAAAAATATTGAAGAGTCTTGTCGAAGTCAAGAAAAGAACCTAAGGGAGTACTTTAAACAAAGCGCAGTGCCGTGCCATAAGATAATTTGCAATCTCGATCGCGGGCACACTGCTCTACAATTAGCCTCTCATGAAACTGCGCCAATCTTTATTACCGACAAAGACCGCCTGGAAGAGTGGAAGTCAAAAGCATTACATAGAAGGTTTTTTCACCAGCTTCAGCAGACTGAAATAGATAAATCTTTGTCTGTTAGCTGGCTGGTAGAAGGAAGTCTATTCTCCAAGACTGAAGGTTTTTTAACTGCAATCCAGGACCAGGTTATAGCTACCAGATCCTACTGGTGACACGTCTTGAAACAACAGAATGTATCGGACAAATGTAGGCTCTGTGCAAGCACATATGAATCCATTCAACTCATAACTGGAGGCTGCAGAGCTCTTGCAGGTACAATACCTAAAAAGACGTGACGATGTTGCCAAAGTCTATCACCAGGCGATTGGTCTAAAAATTAAATTATTAGACGATTCGGTGCCCTACTATAAATATTGCCCTAAAGGTATTTGCCAGAAAGATGGCTTAAAATTATATTGGAATCAATCGTTTATAACAGACCATCTCATGATTCACAACAGACCTGATATTGTGTTAATTGACAGCAATATTAAGGTGGCTAAAATTATAGATATTGCTGTGCCAAATGACGGAAACATTAACTCAGTCTGTGCAGAAAAAATTTGGAAATATCAAGGTCTAGCAGCTGAGTTAAACAGTTTGTATAAACTTAATAAAGTAACCGTTAGGGGCATTGTGATCTCCAGCAATGGCCAGATACCGGTGTCTACTTTGGAAACTACTGACAGGCTGTGCCACCCAACTCATGTAATAAAGGAAGCTCAGAAAGCGGTGCTGCTGAATACTGCCAGAATTGTAAGAAGCTTTCTCAACATTCAATAGAAATTAAAATAGAACATACCTGAGGTGGTTGGAGTTGATTTTCCCCCTCTCAAGTAAACAAATAAAATAATAATAATGCTTTATTTATTCTGGGACGAGTCCCTTTAGAATAATACAGAGAGACAAAAATGTGGACTAAGGAGCCTCAGAGATACATAAAGAAGAATATAGTTTGATTAAATAGTAAAAAAAAATAATAATAATAAGAGAAATTATAAGTTATTTTCTAATTTACATCAGTTAATAATAAAAAATAAAAAATATAAAATAAACATGAAGTAAAAATAATAAAGAACGATCTCATAATTTATATACATATTTACAGTAGTAACTATTTACAATTTTATGATGACTGGATGGATAAGAAATGATTAAACAGTTGGGATTTAAAGGTAGGAAGGGTTTTGGATTGACGGATGTGGGGAGGGATGGAGTTCCATAGGCAAGAGGATCGAATAATAAAAGATTTATCGAAAGCAGCGGTTCGGTGGGCCATTATATATAAATCTGAAGACCGGGAACGGGTATTGTGGGAGTGGACAGAGGATTTAAATTGAAGGAGCTCGGCGATGTATGAAGGACGGCGGGAGTGAATTACTTGGAAGAGGAAGGATGCCAGGAAATACGGCGGTAGGAAGGATAAAGCCACTTCAACTCTTCATAGAAACAGGAAACAGGGGTCTCTTGGGATCCCGAAGATGAACCGTACAAAGGTTATTTATAAAGGGTATTTATAAGGTGTAAAGGGTTTGATCAAAGATTATTCCAAGGTTCTTAATGGTGGGATAGAATTTGATGGGATTATCGTGAAGGAACAGGGTTGGTATGTTAGGAAGAGTTTTAAGGAGGTAGCTGGAACTTATCAAAATTGCCTTGGTCTTCTCGGCATTCAACTTCAACTTGTTAGCATCCGCCCAGTCACAAATTCTATTCAAGTCCTCTTGAAGTTTTTTGTGGCTCCTAATAGGTCAGAAGGAGGGAAAGACAAGTATATTTGGAAATCGTCAGCATAGATGTGGTATTGGGAGTGATGGATCAGAAGGGGAAGGTCATTAATGTAAATAGCAAACAGAATTGGAGACAAGGAGGAGCCCTGAGGAACACCACAGGAGAGGGGAAGTGTCTTTGAAGGAGGTTGATCTGGGACAACTTCATACTGGGATCGATCGGAAAGGAAGGATTTGAACCAACGCAGGACACTGTTGGATAGAGGAAGATTTTGCAATTTGGTAAGAAGGATGTTATGGTCAACTGTATCAAACGCTTTGGAAAAATCTAGAAGGATGAGGATAGTAAGGTTTTGGAGGTCATGGGTTATTTTAAGGAGGGCAGATTGCGTTGAATAGCCAGGTCGGAAGCCAGATTGGAATGGAGTGATGAGGGAATGTTCTTCTAGGAAGTTGGAAAGTTGATTTTGGACTAGGCGTTCCAGTGGTTTTGAGAGGTTGGAAAGAAGAGAAATAAGACGGAAGTCATTCTGTGAGGAAGGG